CCCCCCCCCCCCCCCCTGATTATGATTCATACCAAATACATTTCTTTATAGTCATTACTTCTATGTCTGCTACCCTCCTTTGCACTCGGCAATGCTACAGTAACGGTGGGAACAGTTTCAGCTGAAAAGTTAGCACCGAACATTCTGTGGGAATGGGATATGCTCGGTAAGCTCTTCTTATGTGGTTTCTTTGAATTGATACTTTGAGCATTATCCAAATAAAGGAGCAGGTTTATCGATTGCAAATCTTTTTTCGCTTGAGATGTCAGTGATGCTTATTCAGGTAGGGCTATAACGTTTATGCTGATATTCGGCTGCTTCTCCTCGTTGCTTTTTCTGGCTTTTCAATTCAAAATTGTTCGATATTGTTGCTTCCAACTCTGGAATTCGCGACATCAACGTAGAAGTGATAGCAGTGTACGCATTTCTTCAGTCTATCTTTTCAAAGTGCCAAACGTTTCAAGTCTGATTGTCACTTGCTGGTGTCAGGTAACCCATGAAGATGATGAAAAAGCAAAGGCTGAAGAGCGAGTTGACGTGCAGCAATCTGACGATGATTTGGCTTTGGAGGTGAAGGTGAGCGCAGTCTTTGGAGTACCTCAGCACTGTGATTGATCAAATATGATCACAGAATCTGTGCAAAATGTATGGGCATCTGAGAGCCGTTGATGGTCTGACGCTAGGTGTACGGAGCAGCGAATGCTTTGGACTGCTCGGTGCGAACGGAGCTGGAAAGACAACTACTTTCGATATACTCACAGGACAATCATTTGCAACCTCTGGAACCGCTCGTATCGGCAAACAGGACGTGACGAAGCAGATTGTGAGTCAAACTTTTCTGCTCCCTGTCGAGTAGTTCTTGATTCTTTATATTGTTCAATTGTATTAGGTGTGTGCATTAATTTCCGCCGCTTTTTGCTTGCAAAAACACATTTCTTACAAAATTAAAACCAAATGTACATTAGCCAATGTATTGCCCATCGTTAGCTGCAACTTTTTGCCATCTTTCTGGTATCTTGTTG